GGGGGGGGGGGGAATACCGCCCGTCTTCTTTCGTGTATCAGCGTTGTTGTTATGTTGCACGTGTCACATTTGACTTGTTTTGACGGGGTATGCCTTGGTTTCTGCCTGACTGTTTGATGCTTCACTCTCGGTGCTATTTCACCTCTGCATTTCAACCTACAGCAGTACGATCAGAAATCGCAGTTGGAGATCACTTGTGTACCAAACCCCCCACACCCTTCCCTCTCCGCGTCCCCCCCCCCTCACCCCGTCGACACCAATGCATGCAACTCGAACCCTTGTGATGACGGGGATGATTGTCACTTCATCTCGCTGGGTGTATGGATGGACGAATGGCAGCCGGAGAACATGATGCTGACCATGGGGGGGCATGTGAAGCTGGTGGACTTCGGTACTTGCAAGGACCTACTGGAGACGGACATCAACGGCGGGGAGTTCGTGGGCACCGCGCAGTACATGTCGCCGCAGGCCGTCGCCAGCGAGGAGCAGGTGACGGTGGTGTTCTATTAGTCGCTGCTGTCCGTACTTGTTGCTGTTGTTTGTGTTCCTGTTGTTGCTGCCGTTGTTGTTGTGCCGCCGTTGTTGTTGTGCGACCATTGTTGTGCCGCCATTGTTGTTGTGCCGCCGTTGTTGTTGTTGTGCCGCCATTGTTGTCGTGCCGCCGCGGTTTTTGTTGTGCCGCCATTGTTGCTGTTGTGCCGCCGTTGTTGTTGTGCTGCCGCTGCTGCTGTCATTGTTGTTGCGTTGCTTTTCCTACTGTCGTTATTGATGGTACTGTTGCTGTGCAATATGAAGGATATATTCTGCGTCTCCCCCTCCCATGCAGCCGTCAGGGCAGAATTGGGGATCCAATCCCTACGGTCGGGAAGAGACGCGAGGAAGCTGACATGGCAGTATCGCATGTGCGGGATGGGAGAGGAGAGGTTGCCGAGGATTGTATGGGAGGCGAAGTGGGCAAACAAAAAGAGGGGTAGACAACCCACGGAATGGGTCAAGGTTGTAGAGGACGTATGGAAGGGGCTCGACATCGACGAAGATGAAACGCTGGAAACGGAGGGTCTACAGGGGTTCAAGGAGTAGATATCTATTGCTTGTGTCGTGAGAGAAGAACATAATCTAAGGAAAGAATCCAAGGATATGGAGGGTCTAGAAGTGCACGGAATGTTGAAGGAAAGAATAGGGTTCAAGGACTACCTACATGGGCCAATGGATGCAGGAACAAAGCTTAAGGTCAAATTCAGGACCGGGGACATAGACCTTCGAGAACGTCGACGAAGACATAGGACGGCAGACGACGAAGACGACGAGTTCAAATGTGATTGCGGCTTCGAATGCGAAGACCGTGTTCATGTAGTCGCGGAATGTCCGTTGTACAAGAAGGAGAGGGAAGTGTACGTGACGGAGCTGGGAAAAATAGATAGGAAGTACAGGGAGATGTTTGAGGCATGGAATAGAGAGGAAAGGACGGTAGCTGTA